CCCCCCCCTCCGAAATTTGTTCCAGCTACGGCCCTGGCTGCAGAGGAGTAGTATTGTTCCCTTGGAGCCTCCTTTGGTGTCGGTTTAAATGGAAAAAAAATGTCGATGGGCGATGTACTGATGTATCGATATGACGATGATGAACTGGATAAATTCATAGATAATATATTATATTGTCTATGGATAGATTAGCGAATGCCATAATAACGTTATAGTAGTATCACTGTAGAATGGGACCATATACATATAAAGACATATATATACATATATATATATATATATAGACATTAGTCATATACAGACATTTAAAGGTCAAAGGTCTATGCATAATGCATGGGAGATGGGATGGGAGATGGACATTGATCATATTTTGATGTTTGATCTTTCATCATTGTTATTATTATTATATTATTATCACTATATGATAAGCGGTCCTCTAATGTTCAYGATGGTAATATTTTGGTGKTAGAAATACTCTGTTATCACGTCCACGTGACTGCGGTGCCCAATGACGGAACCGAACGCGGATCGTATGATCCGGGAAACTGATCCGAGTAGCGTTTTTGTTGGCACCGCCGTTGCTATGTTTTTAAATGATGCTTATCAATAACGGTGCTTGGCGCTCGTCAAAATAATAAATATGCTCAAGTCTCAAATAACAAATAAAATTAACTGGCAACTTACTAACAAGTACCAGATCGAAAATATAATATAAAAATACGTTTCTGTAATTTGTGACAAACTCGATTTTCGTTTTAATCTTGTCTTTTTTTACCATACTTAAAGTATAAAAATGTTTSTCGTTGGATTTTTCAATAATTATCCCAGGCATCTTATGATGGCGCTTATAATTACCGTCTAGTGCATTAAAGTCCAATTTTTAGGAGTGTGTTAATCACATAATAGTTGAAGATACGGTTGAATTATAATATAATTTTTGTACTTTGGTGTGTCCAGATCTCTTAGGAGAGATCCCATGGATTCAAGTAATGCTGCAAACGTTTCAGATGACGAAGAATCGTTTTATGGCGTTTTTGTGGAATCTGATGTTGATGATAGTAGTAAGTTTTGTCATCATTTTTTTATTTATTTTTTTTATTTAAATAAATACATTATTTGAAACCATAGGTACTCCTAGAGTGTTCACTAATTTTCAAGAAACACTTTCTGCAGTTAAATCCAACAAAACTGCCAGATTCAAGCTGTTCAGATCAGCAACTGAAGCTGAAAGATTTAGCGTTTTTGGGCAAGAAATACCTWTAAAACAGATAGAAAAAAATACTTGTAATGTATCTTCTAGTTTTACTTTTAAGTCTTTAAAATCTGAAGATCTGGTTGCATTTCGTCGTCTAATTGAAAGTGGAGAACTAGATAAGGTGAAGCTGGCTGTAAATTCAAATCCGAGGTTTCTTGTTAGCAGTGGTGATACACCATCAATAATTCAAGTAAAATATTTTAAAGCTTGATATGTCGAGGGATCTATTAATAGTAAAACTTTCATTACTACTCTAATTTTACTTTGAAACAAAACTTTTTACCTTTTATTTTAAATATGCTTTATAATTTTATGAACTGTTAAGCTTTAGTATGTCTTAAATTAATTCACACTGCAATTTTTATTTATAATTTTGTACCTTATAAAAACTTAATTTTTAAGTTTATCAAAAAAATAAGATTTGAAAGTTTTTTAAATTATTTCAAGTATTTCTAATTTAGTTATTTTTATAATTTAGTTAGCTTATTATATAAAATTTACTTATGTACATTTTTTTTTTACTAGGAAGGATGTCGATATAACGCTATGCATGTAGCCGCTCGATATGATCAACCACAAATTGTTCGTTTTATAATGGAGTGCGTTACTAGTTCAGAATTTATAAAAAGTTTATATGGTATGGAACAATCATATTTATCACGGAGTGAAATCATTGCAGATTTGTATTTAAATACACCTGACAAAGCTGCAAATGATACACCTCTTCATATTGCCTCAAAATTTGGCCATGTGGATGTAGTAARAGAGCTTATTTCATATGATCAATGTTTACTAACGTCTCTAAATAAATATCTTCAAACTCCTAAGGATGTAAGTTTCATTGATGAAMTAAATTATTATTGAAAATTAAAATATAACATAATTTAACGTAGGTTATATGTTCAAGAAACAACAAAGAAATGTATAATGAAATATTAAACTTATTAGAAAATGGATTTTTTGTTCCAATGTGGAAATCTGATGATGATTGTGTTCAACCAACAATTGGCAAACCATTTTCACCTAAATCCTCAACAAAAATTCCTCAACTACAGGTAATAATTATAATAMATTTTTTAAATTTTACTATGAACACAATTTCCTATATTTTGTTTTCATTTAGAATGACAATCCTAAATCATTAAATCCTATACTTGAATTAAGAGCTGTGGCTGGRCCAATGAATGAATCACAAGCCTTAAATTTTTGGAAGGATTGGAAATCACCAGTTCGGAAAACATTATTATCTCCTTCACCAAAAAAGTCACCGTTAAGCCCAAAACAAAATGAGTTTAAAAATAAAAGTATTGAAAAAGCAGGAAGGTAATTTAAACCATTTCTAATGAATTGTATTTTTAATTACTTATAAATGTATTATTTATTTTAATAAATTATAGAGATTTAGCTGAAAAAAAGAATGTTGGTTGGGCTGAATATTGGCCGTTTCTTGATAAAATAGTGGATCTTAAATCAAATAGAGGTTTAGATTTACTTGAAAAATACTTGAGACAAAGATTTAGTATAAAAGAACAAGATTATCCTGTAGTATCACCGCCACGAGCTGTTTTACTAAGTCCTATGGATGAATTGTGTAAAGCATTAGAGTCTATGAGAATTGGAACTATTTTAAATAGACGAAGTCCTCGAGAAAATACAGTTGTATCTTATACTTGTGTTGTAAAATCTTGTAAAGTACGTGTAAACTAAAAAAAATGTATTTATAAAATAAAGTTATTCTAAGTTCTTATTTTTTAGGTTTTAGCAGAACGTTTATCAAATGTAATAATATCTGAATATAAAAATAATATTCTAGGCATTGAATCATTAGCTATTCGATTATGTCATGAAGTTAGACATTTAATGGGTTTAGAAGATAGTTTTTACTCTGATAATCGTTTTGATTCAAAGGTTAAAGGAAAAATTCACGGAAAAGTAGCTGAGCATCTTTGTCAATTGTTAATTAATAATTTGGAACTTGTGAGCAATGTTTCTTTAATMGTTACTAAACTCCAAAAGTATTATGCGTGAGTAAATTTCAATTATWTTTTATTATTATTTCACTCAAGAGATTTCTTGGTATCACTTATATCTCTAAGTATTGTTGCTCTGTCTTACAAACAAACAACATAAAAAYAATTTTGTGTTAACTTGAAATATTAGATGTACAAAAAAATTACGATTTTAAAATACTTATAACTCGYTTCAAAATTAAAACATAGTAAAAGCCCATGAGGTCGTCTACATAATATTTTTACCTTTAAATTTTATAAGATATCAATTCACTCAAATTTTTAAACTCATGAAGCTAAATGTGAAATAGTTTTAAAAAGAATTCAACAATCCTACAATGCCTGAAAATTGTTCCTATAAAGTCATTTTTATTGATATAACACGTTGAYTGCCATGCAGCTGCCGGCGGCCTCAGGAATATTTATCATGGGTACACCAAAGACATTTTTCAGTGTCATTATAAATTTGTATTTGTATATATACTATTGAATTTGAAAAAAAATTAAAAATACAAGAAAAAATGTTAAAATTATGTTTATTACACCAAAAAAATTGCAACTATTCCCACTACGCCACAGCATATTTTCAAGATCAGTATTGTAGCGCCATGGAAAAGTTAATAATTTAAATCTAAATTTATTTACGGCAGCCCGCGGCCGTATGGTCTCCTACGAATGATATAGTGCGGCAGCCGGTGGTCTAAAAATTATTAATACCTAATTATTATTATACGGACGCCGGCGGCCGCATGGCAGTCAACGTGATAATACACTTTATCAAACCCACTAGGGCAGTAAATTACTGAAAAAAATATCATAATTTATTAAGGTGGCAACTAAAATATAAAATATAATTTCCAAATTTTAAAAAATTTAGAAAATTTATAAAACCACTCCCGGCACACATTGTTCCAATATATACTATTTAATTATTT